ATGATATTTTACATTGAAAAATTATATCCTCATAAACATATTGTTGCCATAAAACTTTAGGGAAAAAGAACTCAAAATTTCTAGGTAAAAATTTTGTGCTAAAATTTCACAATGAAAACTCACAAAGAAAGACAGAAAGAGAGAGGAAGAGAGAGAGTAGAGAGAGAGAAAGAGAGAGAGAGAGAGAAACTGGGGAGAAGGGTGTAGAAGATGACCCAGTGGTTAAGAGCAATTGTTATTTTTCCAAAGGACCCAGGTTCGGTTCCCAGTACCAATGACAGGTGCCTTACAGCTCCTTGTATCTCCAGGTTCTGGGGATCTGATATCTCTGGCCTCCTTGGATACTGCACTCATATGGTACATAAAGCACATGTGTGAGCCTGTGCACTCATACATATAAATTTTAAAATCTTTACTAAAAAAATGGAACCTTGAAGACATATCTTTCAGAATTTATAAAACTGTATGAGAACAACTTCACTCTCACTGTCTTTTAAAGGCCAATGGATCATTTGGAAAATGAGGCCATACAAATGCCACAAAATTAAATCAATTGATCAAAACTGAATCTGTATGTGCCATGTTGTTATAACCTAAGTTGAAAACTAATTATTTGGAAACAAACCATCCATGGCTCATTACCATGGATCAAGAGATTACTGAGTGTTTACGGAGCTGAATAAATGAGAATGGTTCAGTAAATATTTGATAGAAATGTTTTGCAAAGGTCTGACTTAAAATCAGAAAATGGGATATATTATCAATTGGTAGACAGTGACCACCACCAATGCAATTCACCTGTAATGTTTATAAGAAAACACTATCGAGAACAGATTTTATCATGGAAAATAAATAGACATAAAAAAACATCCAAATGTGCATATATGAAGCAAGGATATGTAACACTCTATAGCCCAAGGCATGAACTGAGAAGTCATTTCCTTAAATGCTTACCAGCTGTAGGTTTTATTATTCTTAAGGTATTTTGCAGTCAGGAGTTGAAAACAATGACGACTGAGAGGCCTGAAGTTCACTCTTTAATGCATTTAGCATGTAGGCCATTCATACAGGACTATGTCAGAAAGGGCTGGGTTGTCAGAAGACAGATAGAGCATCCATAGAAAAGCACAGATAAGCACCTTATTATGATTTCTTTTCTAGTTGGGGTAAGCAGGTGTAGGATTACCCAGTTTTAATAACTTCATTGAGAAGTTTGCTCGGGGTAGAGGAACGGTCCCTAGATGTCTAGTACTTGCTTGATTCCAGAGTGTGAGCCTTATTGCTGGTGATGCAATAAGAAGATTCTGTATTCTTTCTGTACATATGAAAATCACACTCCTGAGATGCTTATTTTCTATCTTTGGCAAATGGCTATGCTTAGAAGGAATAATCGCTTCAGGTCAACAAAGACCCTAGACTGAAAAACATTTGAACAACAGAAAATGAAAAAAATCCCAGAAGGTGGCTATAATTAGGGTTCCTCCAGTGTCAGAAACTCTTGTTCTTCCCAAGTTCCTTCGGAAGTGTCGCAGATGTTCTAACATACAGTTAGGGATATATTTCCAGCATTTCCTATCTCGGCCCCAACACTATTAGCAGCCACCTTGAGTCCTGGCACCACATTCTTTCTCAAAATAAAACCCTTAAACCCAGTCCTAACAACACATCCTTTCCCCTCAACAAAACCTCAAAAACTCAACTTTCTCAGAACATTACCAATACTTCTAGGTAAATGCAGGAATCTTTACCTGAGGAACACTGTCATATATGTCCTGGTATAGATTCACTTACATGTCAACAGGTCAAATTCAGATCAACACATCTAGTTCTACTCTCGTACATCATGGATACAACCTTTTATCAAAAGACTTTATTTTGTACTTTATCCTATGAACTCTAGACATAATTGCTTTTGCAGATACCACAACTCATCAATGGTCTTTGCAATATTGAGGTAATGTTTGCACTGGTTAGCTTTTTATCAATTTGATTCAAACAAGAGTCATCTGGCATAAAAGAATATAAATTGAGGACATGTCTTCCTTAGTCTGGATTGCAAGCATGTCTGTGAGACTTTTTATGATTAGTGATTGACATGGGAGGGCACAACCTACCATGGACATTGATGAGAAACTGAGGCACAGGTCTGGCATCTCTGATATTCTGGATCTCTATTGCAATTTAGGCAATACCTTGACAATAGCTCCCTGGACTTTTTTCTTGAGGCTTCTACCAGGGTTGAATAAAAAAGCAAGCAGAGCAAGTCATGAAAAAACAAACCCAGAGAACACTATTCCTCTGTGACCTCTGCTTCTGTTTTCTGCCCCCAGGTTCTTTCCTTAGGCTCTTACCTTGACTTCACTTGATGATGGACTGTAATCTTTGAGGTTAAAAAGATTTTTTTTTTTTCCAGCTTCCTTTGGTCTTGGTGTTTTGTTGGTTGAGGCTGCTTGTTGGTTTCCGGCTTCTCAGCTCTGAAATAATCACACAGAAACTATATTATTTAAATCACTGCTTGACCTATTAGCTCTAGTTTTTTATTGGCTAACTCTTATATCTTAATTTAACCCATTTCTAGTAATCTGTGACTGTACTTTACCGGGTAAAGTTCCCATAATTTTTCTCCAGCGGGACTACATGACTTCTCTCTGACCCTACTTCCTTTCTCCCAGCATTCAGTTTAGTTTTCCCTGCCTACCGCTATTGCCTGTTCAGACTCAAGACAGTTTCTTTATTAACTAATGGTATTCACAGGATAGAGGAGAATCCCATATCAGTGTTTTTTTATGTAATTAAACAAATATAGCACAAAAATGCAGCACATTTTCACACAGTTCAAGTAATATTCCACACCAAAAACAAATATAACACATTTTTGGAGTTAAAATAATATTCCACAAAATAACTAGATGTGTGGCTAAGTAAAGTTATAAGCATGTTTACCATTGATTTTAAAAGAAACAGAAAAGAATTACGTACGTTTAATTGAAATGCAAACTGTGTAGTCTGAATCATGTACATACCTTTTTAAAGTATTATATTGATGTATGATAAAATATCCTGAAATTAAGGAGTAGACTTTAAAATCATGGACTGTTTAGCAGAGTGGTTCTCATACTTGACTTGCAGTCCCTCTTGGGTTAGAACAGCCTTTCAGAGGAGTCACATGCCAGAGACCCTGCATTTCAGACACTTACATTATGGTTCATCACAGTAGCAAAATTACAGTTATGAAGCAGCAATGAAAATAATTTTATTGTTGGGGTCACCACACATAAGCAGTTTATATTAAAGGGTCACAGCATCAGGAAGATTGAGAACCACTGATTTAGAGGGTCAGTAGGTTTATGTCTTTTCTGTTCAAACACTAGCAGTTAGCACATATGTTTATCACTTTGAAACCTCCACAGAGCAGGTTGGAGGTTTTGAGAAAAGGTAATGCTGGATATTTCTCCCAAGCAACCGCAGCAAGCAAACGAACAATGAGTCAAATCAGATTCGCCGCTGTGCTTCTAAAGTTTCAGTCTGCCGCCTTGGAGTCCCACTCTTGTTTTCTTAAGAACCCAATTCACGTGACACAGATGATGTGTTTTCTCGCATTCCTCCTAGCAAAAAAAAAAAAAAAAATCAGCTTTCTTGCCTGGTATATACACAGCATTTTCTACCTTTCTAGTACCTCTTTTCATCTTTTCGTTAGCAGGAATCCTTGTCTGACAGATTCTGTCATAATGTATTTCCTCTGCAAGCACTAGTTAGTCCAAGCGTGTGTCTTTGTGCATATTCCAATTACATGCTGGAACAAGTTGTGGTACATCATGAGGAAAGAAATTCTCAGCTTACATATGCTTTCAATTCTTTTGTACAGATGTAAAACAACTATTTCAGAATAGGCCATAGATATTATAGTTTATAATTCCTTTGCAACATTTGTAATGAGTTTAGATATTCTTACACTAATGAAACACATAAAATTAAAATAAATACCAGTGCAGGTGTCAATATTAAAGATAGATATTAGGAAATCAATGCCCTTACTCAATAAATCTGAATTGATTTTGAATTTAATATGTTTGTTGTCACACAAAGGGAAGTGATAATAATCTGTTATTAGTGTTATTCATCTGAAAAATGCTTGATTCAAAAATAAGAAATGGAAACAATGATAATTTTTCTACTTAATACAGTCCAGAAAAACATTCAACAACAATATGGTTGTAAATTATCACAGCAACTCAGGAAGATCAGAAACCTCCTATTAGCTCTCTGACCCTTTACAGTTTGCTCCCTTTGTATCTTGATTCCTATATTCTCATGATAATTGTAATAATAAAAGAAACAATAAATAGAGCTGGAAAATAATACCAACTCCCTCAAAACAATAAAGACTTTTAGTAAAAGCAAAGGTAGGGCAAAAACAGGTAGAACACTGAGATATTTCAAAGATGAGCATCATTAATTGTTAATCTAACATTTAGTTGGTGCAGTTTTGGGACAGTCTCAACTATCCTCCCACCTCAGATACAGAACTCTAGGTTCATGTTGTCCTGAGAGAAGAATTCAGGCTAAGTGCAGTAACTAGGTAGGGAATTAGGAAAGAAAACCAAAAGGAGCCTGAATCCTGCTAGACATAAGATCGTATATCCTTTCCTTATCACACCTTTCTTTCTGCCCTCTACTATGGTCATTACTTTTAGAAAATTCCATGCTATTTTTAGAACCAGAATTCCGTGTGTTGTATATACATGAAGCAGGCAAAGGAGGGTAGAGAGGTTTCAAAACCTAAATAGCTGGAATGTTTCCTACATGAACGTGATAGTGCTTCAGGCCTGCTTCTCCCGCAGTGAAAGCCCTGAAGAAGTTGGAACTGACTCTAGCCATAGCAATCCACCATATAGTTTTTTTTCTCTACTTCCTGTTTTTTTTCTTCTCATGGGAAAAATGTTTATTTTGAAATTATTTTAGTTTAGAAATACAAAACCTCTTGGGGAGGGAAAAAGGAAAACACAAAGTATACAGGCAACTTTTTACTTCATAAGCTTCTCACACCCTCATTTGCTCCTAGTTCCCGCGAAGAGAAAGCATTCAGCCACCCACAATAATATTATTAATAGGGATATGGATCAGTTTCACAAAGAAGCCAATGAATCCCATGATAGCAAATCCTATGGCTGTGGCCATGGCAATCTTCTGGAATTCTTTTCTGTCGGGTTTGGTGCATCTTTTAACCAGCCGAATTGAGTCCTTTACGAACTGCCGACTTGGCTCAACAAACTGCATCACCTGATCCATGACTGATTGCGGGACGGCTACTTCCTGTTTTTTCAGAGACTTTTGTTCAGGCCTCAGGAGAGCCATTAATCAGGTTTTCCCAAACTAATTACCTGCCTTACACATCTTTTATAGTTTAGTTCCTTTTCCTGCTCAAATTTAATTTCTCTCTCATGTGACTAAGGAAGTAGAGCTCTTTGTTTCTAAACCCAGAGAATTATTCTGATGAACAAATGAACCAACATAGCCTTAATTTCTTGCAGCACTTGAGGGCTGAGGCCAGAGGATTGTGAGAGTATGAGGCCTGCCTGGGCTGCATAGAGTCATGTAGAAAAAGACAAGCTCTCCTGAGTAAATCGGGAGCATGGGGACTTTGGTGAAGGGTTGAAAGGGAGGGGAAAGGCAGGGAGGGGAGCAGAGAAAAATGTAGAGCTCAATAAAAATCAATAGAAAAAAGAGTCATGTGAGTTGGGATTGAGATTAAGTCCTATGAAAAATAAATGGAAGACCGAGAGTTGTGTGTGGAGAAGGTGCAGAAAATCACTGTTCTTTCATCGTGTTCTCATGATCAAGTGTTTTACCCAATTCTGTCAGTTCCATGCAAAAGGAGGTCTGGGAGGGCCTCAAGAAACACCGCCCTCCACCAATCCCATCCTTACAACTCACCCTTTTCCCTCTGGAATGGCTGTAAATTTCCTCAGCCTTCACACAACCATTGATAGGGAAAGCAGAGAAAGAAGAAAACTTCAGAGCAAGAACCTGACTTCTTCTGGGCAACTGTGGTGCAGTAGACTGCCGTGCTCACCATTTTATCCATTTTAAGTTATGGATTGCTTGCTGTCAAAGAGGGTATTTTAAGTCATGCCAAAAAAAATAACAAACCAATAATTCTGCAAAAATTTGTGACTGTTTTTTCTTTTCAAAATTTTTATGGCAAGAATCAACAAGAACCTAGTCTTTAAAGAACCAATCAACTTTTCTTCGCCAGCCATATCTATCCAGGTTTCAGATGTGATGAATCTATATGTCAGTCTTTCGTTTATAATCACTGGACACTATTTTTCTTTTCTCTACTCTTTTCACTGCCCATTCAGTCGTCTTCTCACTAAACATACTAACCTCAATGTTGTTAAGCCATCATGAAATCAGTATTTTAAAGTATATTATCTCTCTGTATAAACAAAGATTTTAATCGTCCAAGAAAAATTCTATATTATATCTGATAACCAAAAACAGAAAAAAGATACCATTGCTCAGATATGTAAATAGGGTGTATTTGTTTCAAATGCAGCTCTGTTTTGGCCCCAAAGGTTTCTACTCATGTTTGTCTTTAACTCCTCTGAATTAGTGTGTAAGAGCAGATCAGAAGAGAAACAGAATACAACATATCACAGATACTTTTCCTCCCATTAAAATGGAAATGTTTCAGTGAATTCAATCAGACATTGGGGCCATTCTGCTTGTTGTGTTGTGAACAGATCCCAGCCAATACGCTCTTACTTTAGTCAAAAACAGGAAAAATTGACTTCATGGCTGGATGTTTTTCCCATTAAAATAGCTATTTACTTTTTTCTTGTTTTTGTAAAAACCGCTTGTGCAAGTTCTTTAGGCAATTTCCAAATGTTTCTTTAATTTAATTAGATTTTAAAAGCACCCAGAATAGCAACACTGCAAGAGACAATTTGAATTTTGGACACATTTTGCCAACAACTCCTGTCCCAAAACTTCACGTTTAAACATGCAAAATGGTCTTAACAACTGGACTTTAATAATTTTACTCACATTGTTCAAATTTTTGTTATGTGCTAAGTCATTCTTATCCTGGTTTTCCCTTGGCATCCAAATATCTCAAAATTCATCTAGGATGATTTGGTAACATTTGCTCTTGTATGGGATATGCAAATAATATAAATGAGTGGGTTATGTAGGATGACCAGAACAAAATAGATAGCACATGTCTTATGAGGTTGTCCTCTGTATATGTGACGCTTTTATTGGTTAATGAATAAAGCTGCTTTGGCCTATGGCAGGGCAGAATATAGCCAGACTAGAAAAGATATACATATAGAGAGTATGTAGAGTCAAGGAATCACCATGTAGCTGTCAAAGGAGATGTTTGCTGGAATCTTACCTGGTAAGCCACAGCCTCGTGGCCATTTACAGAATAATAGAAATGGGTTATTTTAAGGTATAAGAGCTAGCTAATAAGAATACTGAGCTAATTGGTCAAGCAGTGTTGTAATTAATATAGTTTCTGTGTGATTATTTGGGTCTGGGTGGCCAGGAATGAAAAAGCAGTCTCTGCTTACAAAATGGCACCCATACATTTGGTGTTAATACATGTGGCTAGCCACACAGTTTGGATTCGGGTGCTTGTATGCCTGCTTGGAATTAGGAGGAAAGTAGCTGAGAGCTTTCCTGTCACTCAGCATCCCCCACCTTGGTATGCAGCTAAATTGGGTCTGCTAGGCATGCACAGGCAGGAAAGTATGGCAAATTCCTGCTGCCATACATGAAGACATTTCTAGGCTGTGATGCACACTGTATAGCAGATTTAGCTTTTACTTAGACAAAAAGTTTTTATGTGCTACGTGTTGCTTCCCAAAATTGAGAAGGTGAGCACGGCTCCCACCTAGAAGTCCCAGAGCTGGCAGTAAACATACCTTTACCATATTGCAAGGTCCATAGAGGGGAAGCCAGCATCTAGAGCTGCTGCAACCACAGTTTAAAATTTAAAAATGCTCCTTGTCAGAAGAGGTTTTCAGATACACAATAGGACAGATACAGACATAAAAGCCCTCTAAGCAAGATACAGTGGGTTTTAAAAATGTGTATAGACTTGGGAGAGAGAAGAAAATGAGTATAGACAGTTATAAAAAGAAAGAAATAGTTTTAAAAATGAAGTCTTTAAAGAGACAGTAACAGTAACATAAAAGAGGGCAGGCAGTCATAGATAAAAGGAGTAACAAAAATAAGCACTGTGAAGAGAATACACACAGAGAGTCTGAATTATGTTTATTATTGCATTTTTTTTAATTTTTTGACTGAAGAGAGACATTTAATTCGGGGGGCTGCTAAGTTAAACCAACATGAAGGTATCTTGGCTTCAAAATTTGGGTCTAAGGACATGTTGCTTTGAGAAAGGGCTTCTGCTTTTGTTTTCACAGAAGATGAGAACACATGGAATCCTTCTGGGCTAATGTGGTTTGATGGAACAAGATCTCCCAAAAGGTCTCCATGAAGCCTAAAAATAAGTCACTCAACAGATGTGGGAAGCAGATTGGAGAAAACTACACCAAAATTCTCAGAATGGTTGTTTATAATTGTTTCTTTTTATTTAAAAGGGGTTGGGTATAAATCATTAATGGTTACAATGAATTTCTTTTTTAAAAAAAATAGGGGATATAAGATGTAGAGATGAATACTTTACATTGGTATGGATCTTGATCTATTGATTCAAACTTAAGGTCAATTTTTCTATATGTATTTCTTTTCTTGTTTAAGTTATGTTTGTACAGTTCATTTATAAAGGTAATGTTTAATTTAAAATTGCAGCTTAATAGATGGCATTTATAATAGTAAAACTTGTAGTCATATTAGTTAGGTTTTCTAGGTATATTTCAGTTAGATAACTTCAATGCTTCAAAGACCTACATAATATGGCATTTAAAATATTTTAAGAACTTAGACATTTCTTAACAGTGAGTCATGTCTGCTTCTGGCAGCATCAATTACTTCAGAGAGGTTGATGGGCATTGAAGAAACTATTTATGACATTTGCCTTCAATGTGACAAAGCTAACTAATTTGGACAAGAAACTGATCTTTCCTGGACTACTTGATGGTGTGCTGTATGACCTGGACATGCAGAAACCATAGAGACAGTTAGCTTTTTAAAGGCAAAAACTACAAGCCCTTCAGGACCATCATGGGGGTGAGGGGAGAGGAGGGTTGGCACAAGTGCAAAGTCTTTGCTCTTTCCCATCCTGCTATGTCAGCTTTTTCTTTGTTTTTAAAGCAAGGTCACCCTCTCCCTGAGTCAGGACACTTTATCAGTCTCCACCAGGTGACCGGGCATCGTTGTGCTTTGGAATTTCCCGAAGGGGGGCACTATCTTTTCTGGGAACATGAAGCTAGTCTGTGGTTTTTGATTTTAAAACACTCTGCTAGGGAATTCTTTCTCATTCTCTTGAGAATAAGGGATGAGGTTCTCACAATGGCAGAAAGAAGAACTGTGGGTTTTATAAATATTTGCTATATTTTTATTCATGTGTTTGTGTGGGTGTCTGTGTGAGTGCATGCTCCATGTGAGTGAGTACCTGCAGAGGCCAGAAAAGAATGTCATGCTTTCCCAAGCTAGAGTTGCAGGAGATCTTGAGGCACCCACTATTGGTTATGTAATTTAAGTGTGGGTCCTCTAGAAGAGCAGGAAGTACTCTTAACCGATGAGCTATCTTTCTAGCTCTGAAATGTGGGCAGTGGTTAAGAGAAGTTAAAACTCCAAGTTTCTCTGTAAAGACCATGTTTTTCCCAAAATGTGTTTTATAAATGTTAATATTAAAACTACACAGACATATAATGCTATCACAAGGAGAAGTATTATCAAATGCAACCAAGTCTGGTAGTATAGGTACAGGTCAGTGATATCACATTTGTCTATAATGCTGAATAAGAGCTTGAGTTTGACCCACAATACTTTTAATAAAAAGTTGTGCAAATAACATGAAGAAACCCTTAGCTTTAGAATCTCAATAGGAAATAATTTTAACTTAGAGAGAGGCAGGGTAGAGAGAAAGAAGAGAGATATATGGTGTGGTATTCTGCTCTGCTTTCTATGAATATGCTTTATTACCATTGGTTATTAAAGAAACTTTGTCCATCAATGGTTTAGGAGTGTAAATCCAGGCTGGAAATCTGAACAGAAATATAGAAAATAGGCGGAGTCAAGGAGATGTCATGTAGCTGTTGAAGGAGAAAGACGCCATCTGTTGGCCAGAATCTTACCAGTAGGCCACATTTTCATAGTGATTCTCA